ATTTCAGCCACTGTTCAGATTATAAATGAATACTCAGCACTGCGAAGGAGAAACAAGCCAAACAAAGGCTATACTAAAAATGGCATATTCTATGTAACAGAGTTTCAGAAACACAAGTAGAAAGTTGGTTGTTTGGGGGAAAGGCTCTTGAAGGAGGACAGATGGGGACATTAGTACTGGTTGATTTTATGTCAACCTGACACAAGCTAGAGTCATCAGAGAGGAAGGAGCCTCAGGGGAGGAAATGCCTCCGTGAGATCCAGCTTTAAAGCGTTTTCTCAATTAGTGATCAATGCAGGAGGGCCCAGCCTATGGTGGGTGGTGTTGTCCCTGGGCTAATGGTCCTGGGTTCTAGGATAAAGTGGCTGAGCAAGCCAGAGGAACAAGCCAGTGAGCAGCTCCCTCCATGTCCTCTGCATCAGCTCCTGCTCCAGGTTCCTGCCCTGCGTGAGTTCCTGTCCAGACTTCTTTCAAAATGGAAGTGTAAGCCAAATAAACCCTTTTCTCCCCAACTTGTTCAGATTTCATGAGGAGAAATTAAGGCAGCATGGTAGCACAGTGGCTGTGAAGGCAGGACGGTGGGGTCTGAGACGGAGAGCCGCATCTTCACCCCTCACAGCGTGTGCAGGGCTGAGCAGTGAGCTTAGCTTCCTCCTTAACGGCCCTGTCAGCAGCTGCTTACCCAGGTGCCGCCCTGTTCCTGTGTAAGCACCGCCATCCTTTCTGCTCCTGCATCCACACACACCTACGCGTGTGGAAGCCAGAGGGCCTCGGGAACTTGGGGATGCTGAGATGTACCACCACTCCAGTACCAAAGAGGGGAGGCAAGCTCAGGTGGAACCAGAAAATACAGTCACTGGGGAGGGTTGACAAGCACGCAAGAGCAGTCACAGTGCCTCATAGGGGATCCCTGCCAGCAGGAAAAGGGGCCACGTTATTCCTGGTGCACGTTCTACCCCACCCACGGAGCCTCTCCACCACTGCCACAAGGTTCACACAGGCTTTTACAAAGGGTCCTCACAGGATGACTTGCCTAACCAGAGACCCTTTGTATAGACAATGGCCCTGTTTTTGTTTTGTTTTTTTTAAATTCCAGGGGGATGTGGCATTTTCATTTCAAAAAGTGATTAGAACAGTCACACAAAGGAGTGCCTTCCGCCCTGCTCTAGCCCACCTAGGCCAGGATGCAGGAGAAGAGCAGAAGTGACAGAAGGAACTCCTCCTTTGAGGAGGAAATGAGACCTTTGACCTGTCTTGCGCCAGAAAGCAGAGGAACCCTTTCTATCCCTGCTCTTCCATGAAGGTGGTCATCTCCCGCGCATGGCTTTCCAGCAGTCACGCATTCCTGAGTCTTTGGAAGGGATTCAAAGATTCTTATGGTGCACCCAAAGGCTAGTACATGCCAGGCCCCATGTGGGCACAGCAGAAAGAGCTACATACACTAGCCATGCTGTGAGTTCATAATCTCACCCCCCCCACCCCGCCCCGACTTTCCTCCATACTAGCAATGGCTGAGAATGAAGGATTGAAAGGGACACAAGGTAACTTCCTTTGGAAACTCCCCAGAAGGTGTAAGGGATTGGTAGGCAGAAGATCGATGACAGGCAGAGGAGGAGAAGTCTGGGAGGATCTTCTGCTGCCCAGAAGCTCAGCACAGCTCACATATGCAGATCTGGCTACCCAGATCTTAGAGGTCACAGGGATTAAGGAGTTTGATCCAAATCCCACCCTCATGTCCCCATCAGAGCCCATCCTATTCCTTCACGCAATGTCAAATAATAAACATCTGAAATGTCCAAAGGCTGCTCTCACTTTTGACCCCAGCACCGTGGTCTGACACACGTAAGCTCAGGACTATGAAGATTGCAGTGCTGTGTAGCAGCAGGTACAGCTTTCAACACACACCGCCGTGCTGAGCTCTTCCAGAGCCAGCAACCCGTTTTCTTCCCCTTGAAGACAGGCCAGTGAAGACATGTTACGAGCCGCCTCCTCCTTGGGAAAAGGTCTCTAGGGTTCCCGGCCAGCATCAAATCAAGCCTACCTACCGAATGACTGAGGTAGCACACACTGCCACGCTCAGTCTGTGCAGTGTTCGCTTACACAACTCATGACCTGATTCATGTCGTTCAACATTCTGCCCACTTACCAGAGGATTGTTCGGTTACATTCATTGTCTGCATATGTGTGTGTCTGTGCTTGTGTATAGGGGGTACTATATAGCATATGGAGGTCAGAGGGCAATGTGTGGAAATCAGCTCTTTACTTCCAGCTTATGGCTCCACCTGAGGTCATCAGGTTTGGTAGCACAGACCTCCACCCACTGAGCCACCTCTCTGGGCTCCTGGGTGTCATTTTAAAAGAGGGAGAGTATGTACGAAGGATTAAAGGCAGATGTCCACACTGGTAGAGAAGGCTAGAAGCTGATCTGGAATGTGACATGGCTGAACTCGGATGGGACTTTTACAAACACCCTTTATCAAAGACTTGGCTCCATGCTGTCGATACCAGAAGGAAACCTGACACCTTTGGTCTACTGCTGCATCCTGGGCACTGCCATCTGCTGTTCACACTACCCTGCAAAGCCACTGTGCTGCCCAGCTCTAGGCAGGAACTTCAGAGCCAGGAACTAACACACCTCTTTGCTCTGGCTTTCTAAAGAAAATTACAGAAATTTACTCTATTAACAAATGCAAGTATTTACGGATAAACAAATTACTAATTATCATAAAATTGTTTGTTCATATAAAAACTTATTATAGATCATATAATTTATTATAAATATTTATTTAATAACAAATAAATACAACTGTTTATTAATAACATGCTAACTGAGAGGGTGTCTTTTGCTCACATGCCCTCTGTCTCCTGTTACACTTTAATAGGAAACACATCATGTGAGAAAAATGAAGTTCATAAAAAGATCAAAAACACATTAACCAGGACAAACCCAGTATGATTACATGTAAGCACTATGTGCTGATGGGGCCAAGTGCTCCACCCTTTGTTAGATGCATACCTATCATTTTGAGGATCTATAAGCAACAGCCAATAGCGTTTGGAAGAACAAGGCTCCGGGCTCACAGTGGAGAGCCTGCAGCAGTGGCGGCTACACTAGGAAACGCGTTCTTCATCTGGCAAGAAAAGGATGCATCTCTTTGAGATCACAGGCCCACTATAGTGCAAAACAGTCTAGATTTAGACAAAGGACAGGGTTTGGGTAGATATCCTGTCCCTGATTTTTGCTTTGCATATTACATTAGTCAGGAATATTCATGTCCCTAACGTATTACATGTTACAGGCAAAAACTTAGGCAGTTTCTCTTGAAATCCCCCCAAAAATGCATTGTTTATTTAGCACTCTCCTTCCCCAACCCTATCTGCCTTAGGAGTGTGTGCTGGGAGAAAGCAATCCAAATGTGGAAACGAAGTCATTCACGCTCCACAGCAGCGCTCTCTGGTCTTGGATGCGACTTCACACTCTACAGCCCACAGCTTTCGTATTGATAAGTCACATGATGGTCACATTTGGTGTTAAAATCTCAAATGTAGCCTCACTTCCTTCCCCAGGCTCCACACCGCATGGCCAGGGGGTTTAAATGCTATCCGCACAGTGTGATTAACCGCACAAGCAGCTACTGTGCAGACCAGAGCTGCCAGCCACAGAAGGCTGTCAGACAAGGCAACAATTAGGCTGGGGCCGTAGCTCACGAGTACAGCACTTGCCTTGAGTGTGTGAGGTCCCAAGCTCATCCCCGGGACCCGAAACAATCAATCAAAAATGAAAATAAAAACAGGTCATGGAGGGGCTGACTGTGACAGCATTCAGTGCGCACGGAGGGACACACCACAGGAACACACCACAGGAACACGCCGCAGGGACACGCCGCAGGGACACACCGCAGGAACACACCGCAGGAACACACCACAGGGAAGCCCAGGCTTCCATACAGTTTACACACTAACACAAACATGGCTCAAAGACTAAACTGTAAATTAGCAACTGTGAAATGAGCTAACCAACTGCATTTGCCTGTACGATTCCCAAGTTCTTTATCTTCTAAGGAAGTACTTCCCTTATTAAAATATATATATATATATATATATATATATATATATATATATATAGCCCCCCAGCCACACACTTACAAAGGACAATTTCTCCTTGATCCATGAAAAACAGACTGCTCACTCATACTAAACCATGACTCTCAGTCAGCTTCGCTTAAAGTGTTTAGTAGTTTGGGAAAAAATACAAAATTATATACTGTTGTTTTGGTCCAAAAATACGTTTTTAAAATAATAAGCTATTAAATGTATTTATTGCCTATGTCATTTGGCAAACAATACGCAGCAATTGTTTTCAAACGTTTTAGTGCATGAACTATTGAGAAACCCAGATTTTATATATATAATAAATATAAATCCAAATTTTATACACACGCATTCACACAAATACACACACCCAGGATTTCTGAGATAGGGTTTTGCTGTGTAGCCCTGGCTAGCTGCCCTGAAACTCACTCTATAGGACAGGCTGGCCCCGAATCCAGAGCCCCAGCACCTGCTTCTGCCTCGTGAGCACTGGGGTCAAAGGGGTGCACCACCACCCAGCCAAGAGATACTTTTTTAATGTGAATGTTATCCATCGACATGCTCCAACATAAAACTCAGGTTTCAACAGAAAATCGCATTATAAAAAGGAATAAACCAACTTTATGGTGAGACATTATATTTTCAACATACGTCTATGTTTTCCAAAATAAGTCAGTGACAACAGCGGGTTTTGTCTGTCTGCTCCCCTGCTATCCTCCACTGTGACTTTAATACTGGCTAAACGGACAACTCCCTGCTGGGCGTAGCGGCACAGGAGCCCCCCTTCCTTAGCACTGGAGGGGCCGAGGCAGGGGGCCAGGTTCAAGGCCACCACCTACCGCGCCGCAGGCCCCAGGCTGAGAGCACGGACAGATGCCCCGAGCGGACCCTGCAGCCAGGACACTCACAGGTCTCCATGCCTTCATCGTCCTCGTCCGCCGCGGGCTTGTCGTAGGACTTGTCGATGGCTGCCCGGAAGCTCTCGTTGCAGCCGCGTCCTCGGATGATGCGCGGCCGCGGGCGGTGGAAAGGGATGTTCCCGTTGAGAGTCACCTCAGCGACGGCAGTCTGCAGGCTTTCCAGGGAGCTGGACTTCTTCAGACCCAGGGACGGTCCCACGTCTCTGCTGGGGGAGCCTTGGAGGGTCGGAATGATACAAGGTTAGAGGGACGGAAGCGGCAATTTCAGAGCCAAGTATCTAGGCGCTGCGGAACCCTGCAGGGCTAAAGTTATTTACTGCCTCGGTATAAGTGCTGGAACGTGGGTGTAAAAGAACAAACAACATGCGTTAATTCTGTTTTTCCACAAACATATTAGTTTTTGTATCTATTTCCATTTGGAAAGGTTCTAAATCATTAATTTTTATCTTAAGAGATAAAATCTTTATTTATCAAGCCATTGTCCAATGTAATACACACATAAACAAAGACAACAGTAATCAATAATAACATTTAAGATGCAGAGGCAGCGAGGCCCTGCAGGAGCGTTTCTCTGCGGTCTGGAGTTATTAACAGCAGAAGGTAGCCATCATCACTGTGGAGGCTACATCCACTCACCACCACCCTAACAGACAAAAGCGGCCCGAGGACTGTGAGCTACATACAGAGGGCAGGACAGATCTGAATGGACAAACCACAGAAGGGCTTCTCTCCCAGAAGAGACAGAACTGTTGACACACTAGGGAGTTAAATTGTTGATTTCTTGAAGATCCCAGGCAGCAAGGCTTGGGGTACCAACCGCACCAGGGTTAGCAGCAATCACAACTGTTTTCCTTAAGCCAGGGAGACAGCTCCATCCATCACTGTCTGACCTGGCCCACGGGGGGAGTCAGCAGTCTCTAATGAGTGACACCTCCACCTGGGTGGGCCAGGTGACAGGCCTGGCCCCTCACTCATCTTCCTAAGAGGACGGATGGAGGAGCAGAGGGTAGAGACACTCACGTTTCTCTCCACGTGGGGCTCCCCACCATATGCTGATCAATAATTAGGAGGTAGCTTCCTCGTGTTACTACCTGGAAGACACACGGCGGGGCGGGGGCTCACCACAGCTCAGAGTGATAAGACAAGGAAAATTAACTGCAAGTGTCAACGGAAGAATTAACCTCTGATGCTTCATCTCTATTACATATTCCCCAATTTTCACCGTGGGATAGCAGTGCCCAGGGAGGGAGGGATGCTGAAATACAGACAGACAGAAGCAGGCACGATTTTCACAGTGGAAAAACATTCTGGAAGTTATCAGTCTCGGGGGCAAATGGTGCAGTTTGCGTGCATCCAATCGCTTATTTTGTAGCCAATGTGCACACTGAAATTTTCCTCCAGGTAGCACCACGCCACTCCTGCTCTTCACAGCACATGCCCGACAAGTCTTACGTTAGTCCTGAGGGATAAGCCACAGCATGGAAATCGAACCATATTCCAAAACAAAGGGGGTGACGTCAAGGAACCAAGATTCCACCTCCACGTTCTCTAGAAACAAGCACCGGCAAAAGCTCATTTCTGAATGGATCCTGCCCATGAGATCTCAAACCTCCCTCTGTCCGTAACTGGCTCATGTAAAACAGGTATTAGCAAATGCTTCCCAAGGATGTCAGTTCCTCTAAAGGCATGTGTGCACACATGTACCCCAACAGTGATTTCACACTTCCTGTTGGAAAGCTAGCTGAGACTTTAATGTACTCAACAAGAGATGGTCTGAGGGCCCTTCAGCATACAGCAATTCTGCAAAGACAGATAAACATGCAGAATAATTACATCAGCAACAAAACCCCACAAAGGCACCAGGCTCCATGTCCCTCAGCACGTGCAATTAACAGTACAAATAATTTAAAGCTTCCTTCTCTGTACTACAACCCCGTAACTAACACTTCAGCATGATGCTGGTAACTGTGAGTACTGTTGTTGCCTGCTGGAAATCTGCACGATGAAAAGTCAATCTATGGCGGGATCAGCAAACGAATCTGGACCTGTTACTGGAACACAACCTCACCCACTTATTAAGATTTATGATAATCTATAATATGATCTGTGGCTACTTTCAAATCCACCAGTTTCCAGAGACCCTTGGCCTAAAATAGCCCAAATTGCTTATTATCTGGTTCTTAACAAAAAGTGCTCACTACCTCTATAACACAGATATCATAAATGGAAGAAGAAGCTTTAAGAATTCTGGGTTGGAGCCATAGCTCAGGGACAGAGTGCTTGCTAGCAGGCACATGGGCTTGGCTCTCGAGTCCTGCTAGCATGGTGTCATATGCTCAGAATTTACTGTGATGGACACAGAAGGGGTCGCCTGTAAACGGGCAAAGGCTCTTCACCATTGCATGAAATGCAGAATCTTCCCATTCTGAAACATTTTAAGGTTCTCTGCACCTTTGCATCCTTAATATACTCTTAAGGATCCCATGGTCTCTCTATTCTTTTTAAAGAAAGTGCATTCTCTGCAAAAATAAATACAAGATCCCTAAATCCACAAGTCAAGGACATCACACACACAATATTTTTCTTAGAGCAGTTTTGTGTGTGATGGCTTCTGTGCTGTACCCCAGGCTAGAACTGTTGCTCTGCTCAGTTCTGTTTTCTTTTTCTGGGAGAGAGGGTCTCATTATGCAGCCCTGGCTTGTCTGGAACCCAGTAAGTAGACCAAGAAGATCCGCTGCCCCTGCCTCCTGAGTGCTGGAATTAAAGGCATGCACCACACCTGGCTTCCAAACCTGCCCAATAATAAACATCCCTCTTGGAAAAAAAAAAAAAAAAAGTCAGTGAATGAAGGTGTCTTCTACAAAGGGGAAAAAAAAAATCTGTTTTCATTACAAGTGGCTTAAAACAAGACAGATATTTATGCCAAAATTTCAGCATGCCTTGTCCAAAAGCTCTGAGCTAACCTGTCAAAGAATCCAAACAATTCTGAAACGAGGAAAGGAAAGAAACTCTACTGAAATTGTTCCGTGAGAACACTGGGCGGGGAGAATACGGTCTACAGAACTTGCCAATGGAGATTAAAACTCCCAAACCAGAAAGCAACCTGATGTCTTTGTAGAGCTTGTCCTAGAATCTTCCATCTTAATTGTGTGCATGGGACAGAGGCACACACTCAAAACCAGACAATGCCCTTCTCCTCTGAGACCTAACACATGATGAAAATATGAATCCATGCCAAAGTTATAGAATGTTTTCAGTTAAAAGGCTGTATGTTATTTAATTTTCTTTTCCTCACAGTGGGTTTATGTGTTTCACATAACTAGAGAACACACATCACATTGCAAAGGTGGGATATTCAGCCCAGCATAACACTTCTTTACACACTGAAGACAACTAACTCAACACTAACTTCTACCGTCCGCATGTCACCTGCCTAGACTTGTTATATAGTTCCACCGCAGAATTTCAATGAACTTTATATTTTATCAGAAAAAAATAGCTACTTAGTAAGATCTGAAGCTATAGTTAATTGCCCTGAACACAGCCAACCTTATAATTTATTGAATGCAATTTTATATGTAACATTTACTTCATAGAATATGGTAACGCCAAGAACATCCACAATAATCTTTATGCATGTATGTAGAACACACAGGCTGAAACTAATTACTACAGCAGGTTAAAAAGGCAAATTAAAACTAATACGTGCTAAGTGATATAATTACATTATACTGGATCCAGAATAATTAAAACAAGATTCCAAACTACAGTAATAAATGCTCCACCACACACAGCACACTGCCTAATCACCTTGCCAGACTCCGCTGATTATTTTCATGTGGAGATATAAAAAGTAAGATACTGGTACACGCGGCCCAGGTGGCCATTATTTCTATGAAATGGTTAAGCAGTAAATTTAGAACAGGTTCCAGGAGCTAACGAAGCCGTATGTGTCGTATAGTTCAAGCTGATGTCAGGGTTAACACTGAGCTAATTCCCGCATCTGAAAAGGATGCAGAAACAATACAGGCTCGTCCACAGCAAGCCCAAACTCTGTCAGCTAGTGAAGTGTTCATAGAGCAGAGCGGCCCTCCACCTGCCGAACGCTGCAACCCTTTAGCACAGTCCCTCCTGTTATAATCACCTCCGACCACCAAATTGTTTCTTTGCTGCTTCTTAGGTGTAATTTTGCTGCTGTTATAAATCATGAAGTAAATATCTGATAGGAGGCCTGTGGTGGCCATTCGGCCCCTAAGGGGTTGTGAGCCACAGGCCGAGGACTGCTGGCACAGGTGATGCTGCTTTTCAAATAAAAATCAATACTTTGAGCACAGACAGTAATTACAGCATCACGTTACTAAAGAACTCAGATGTTTCCTTAGGATTCGGATTTTTTTTTTTAAGAAAATCACTGAACATTCCTATGCAAGTAAGATGTAAAAAAAAAATCTCAAGTTGTTTTTAACATTGTAAAGGGAGTCTATTCCATTCCATCTGTTACACATATCGCTGATAAATTTCTAATAACAACCAAAAAAATGTATTTTCTCCTGCAATTCGATTTCCCATAAGGAGAGCATCTGACTGAGACTGGAATGCTGGTGCGTACATGAAACAGGACTGTCCGCTCTGTAAGCACGAGAAGCTCCTTGCACCATGGTTTCTATGGCAACCGTCTGACTGTCCATTCTTACCTGCTTTCTGGTCATCCACTGTATTGAGTTTAGTCTCGTCAGCTACTGTTAAAAGGGAAATGTAGAAGGTTAGCCCGGTTAGTCCCGAAGCCCAACATGCTTCAACCCTCCCCCCAGCTCTGACCGTTAGAGCACAGCTCTTAGGCAATATTCCATGCAAATAAAATGAAACATCAAGCAAACATTCATAATCAAAACTGAAGGGAGGAAAAGCAGCAGCAGCTCATGCAGCAGGCCAGTCATGTCATCTGACAGGCGTGTTATTTTTATGTTAGTGTGCCATCATCAGCAGAGGCAGTGCGCTGCCTGATTTCACATATATACACACGGATCTGGCAAATTAACGCTTTCAGTCTTTAAGTCCAAACAGCCACCAGAAAACAGCATCATAAGTTATGATTGATTAACAAAGGTTTTTTTTTTTAATTTAGTTTATACCTTAATTAATTGAATTACTTTTGGGGGTAGAGACACTACCTGATTGTTTAACTGAACCACTATGGCTATTTTCTTCCTCTCGTTTGCTCCCAAACGCCTTCTGGAATACATTCTTTCCAGTTACTAATCTGGTTCAAGGCCACAAGAAGAAGTCTTACCAATTAGCACTTTAAAAAGAGCAATCAAGGAGAGCATTGGCACCTAAGCCCCAGACATGGATTGAGATAATGGTTTCTCTCCAAACGTTTCTCTAGTTAAAAATCCCACCGAACATAATCTCAGAGGATACTGCTTCTCAAATGGGCGAAGTACTGAGACAACTCATTTTGAAATGAAGCTATGAGGGTCCAGTGCGGGTTTGCTTCCTTCCTCTCCAAACCACTTCAGCTGTTTACCGTGTCAGTGTGCTACACTGAGGAGGATGGCTCTCTCAAATGCAAGGCAAACTAATTGTTGCAAAATTGCCACATTTTTTATTTATTTTCCCTGTTGCTAAAAATAAATAGACGAGTTTAGGACCATCAGTTTCATCCTGAAGCATCCAAACCTTATTTAGATAAAGAATCATGGAGATTGTACTCACTACCTAAATCCATGCTTTTTGATTTTCGTGTTTTAACGAAATCCAATTGAGTGGCATCTGAAAATTGCTTTGTGCGTTTTTCTGACATACTCTGGCGTCCAAATCCTTCTCGTTGAAAAGCAAGAACCGGGTCAACATCTGGACTCAAAGAGCTGAGGTGAAGAGAAAGAAAAAACACGGAAGTATTTATTAAAGGTAGAGACATTCAATTTTTGGAAAGATCATATACCTTTTATGCATGAATAGATGCATATTACTTAAGGATTTAAACTAAATACACAATATACCTCATTTTTAAAAGGAACCTGAATAGAAAGTAACACAAAAATTAAAATTTGATTGAAGATTAAAGTGACCGAGTGGGTGTAATTTTTCTTTACTTCCCTCTGGGTGTTTCTTCATTGTGTTTGATGAGATAGAAATATTTCTGTTATTGTTTAAAATGAGTCTGCTACCTGGCAGACACAGGAAAGGCTGAATATTTGACAAGACTTGCCTGATACTGTGACCTGTGGCTATACACATTGCAATTCAGCAATTTCAAAAAGGATGTGTTCTGACGGAAACTGGCCAAGAGGCCAACAGCTGGACAAGGTGCAGTCGCCGAGAGGTTCTGCACACCCTTCGCGCAGTAACACAGCATCGATCCCTGTTCTCCACCCATCTAATATGCAAAACAGATGCTGGGGGGCACACAGGGAAGGACTACCAGACTGAAGGAGGAGGGAGAAGCACGGCCACGTTCGGACGACATTAGATTCGGGTGGCACCAACACAGTGGCTCAGGTGACAGGCAGGAGGTGATAAGGGATTCTTTGGTGCTTCTCTACAAATCTGTGACTGCTTTAACAAGCACTACTAAATGCTCCGACCCAGTCCCAACTATGCCAGAGGCTCTTCCTCCAGGCTCGACACACCAAATAAACACACACAAGTACTCTCCTGCGTGGGACAGAGCCAGCATGCCTTCCTCGGTGACACTATGCTGCTGGTGGGGGTGTCACGGAACCATTAGGAGGCAGGGCCTTGCTGCTGAAGGAAGGATGTCACTGGAGGCTGGGATTTGAAGAGTCTACAAATTCTCCCAACTTCCACTTCTCTCCCTGGCTATGTAATGGGTGAATATGAGACTCCTGCTTCCTGCATAGCCTGCCTGCTCTCATGCTTCTTCAGTAACAGGTTTGCCCTCTGCAACTGTAGACAAAATGAACTTTTTTCCATAGGTCGCTCTTGGGCATGGTATCTTATCACAGTGAGAAAGACTAACACACCACACCCCTCAGCGAACTGACAAGTCATGCTGGGCTGTGAGGGGGCCAAGTCTACTGAAGCAGCTGAATTTACCATCAACTTCCACGTGTTTCTCTGCTGGCAAGCCACAGCAAACATGCACTGTATTATGAAAAATAACATACAGGTAAAGGGATGTGATCCGGATTGAGTACAGAGCAAAGTTTTAACTGCAACCACCCAACAACATGACACCGGGTGGCTCTTCAGGAAGTGTTGAGCCAGAGGTCAAGGAAGGTTGCAGGAAAACCCTCCCACTGGAAGATGGCATGAAGTGCCCTGAGCCCATTAACCTCCATATGCCCGACGAATAGCTGGCTTCCTCATCTCTCAAAGCTAATGAGAGAACTCAAGAACATAAGGCAAAGGCCCTTTGCATACTTTACCGCCATCCACAAGCTATTGTTGCTAGCCTGCGAAGGGAGGCGGCCTCAGATCACCATAGAAATACCAGTGCTGGCGTCTTTAATAAGCACGTTTTTTAAAAAAATGAACATCCTTCCCTAATCTCTGCCCCGGGGTGCAGATGTGGAGCACTGCAGGTGGGCAGGGTGGGAATTTAGAGTACTCACTCGCAAGGTCAAGAAAAGGGAACCTAGGACAGACAGGTGAGCTGGGCCTTCCTGCTGCCTCCCCTCCATCTCAGCAGGCTTGCCTGAGCCAGGACCACAGCAGGAAGACTAAGCCCTGGGGACCAGGCAAGGCAAGAATTTCCATTTTTATTTTATTATTTTAGTTAGGGTACAGATGTGTGGAGGTGTCACACCCGTGAGTGGGGCCCCCTCAGCGTCCAGAAGACGTCGAGCCCTGAAGCTCAGTCACAGGTGGTCTCAAGGCGTAAATATTCATCTGACGCAGGTGCTAGGAACTGCACTGTGGTCCCCGCTCCAGGCCCCAGGCCCTTTTTGAAGTGCATGGTACTTGGCTAGTGCTGTATCCTCATTGGGAATACAGGATCACAGCTCTTCCAAACTTTGGGTAGTTTGGATTCTCAAGAAGTAGTGTCATATTTATCCAGGAATCTCGTTTGTCAGCTTAAACACTAGGGTTAGCATGAAACAAAGATACCCAAAAATTTCCAGAGCAAAAGCCCCCAGCGTGAGCCAGGTGCAGGACTGAGACTTTTAACCCTAGCACTCAGGAGGGAAAGGTAGCTGGATCTCTGTGAGTTTAAGGTGAGCCTAGTCTACATAATGAGTTCTGGGAGGCTATCTAATAAGATCCTGTGTGGAAAACAAGCCAAACAACAAATATCCCCAAGATAACGAAGACTCAATTCTAAAGCTACAAACATGAAAAAACAGTCTTTGAGAAGTGGCAATTCTCTATGTCAAAAGCGGGCTTCTTTGCTGCTTACCAAAAAAATACTTGTGACATGTGGGACACTTGGAGAATATCAGTAAGGCAGCAAATCTGTGGACAAAACGAATCTGAACTACAGTTATGTATTCATGTGTGTGTGAGTGCTCCCTGGTGCACACCTGTACGTGCGTGCAGGCCACGGGCCAGCATGTGAGAGTCTTTCTGGGTGCTCTCCATTGTCTTCACTTAGGCACAGCCCCTGGCTAAGCCCAGAGCTTTCCAGTGTAAGCCAGCCGGGCCCCACACTCAGGCTCTTCTGCTTGCGTGGCCAGCACTCAATCCACTGAGCCATCTCAGCAGCTCCACAGTCGGCTTATGTTTGAGAACCCTGCTGTTACTCACACCGACTAAAAACACTGACCCTCCGGGCTCTAGGAGAACAGGTATGCGCTACCACACCCTGCTGAAATACAGTTTTAACAGAAAGTTCTAGCAAAGAATTTCCAAAGCAATTTAAATTCTTCCTAACGTTGCTTAAATCTCCATTTAGCATACTTTCAAACTCCATTTATATCCTCCTTAATATTATCAAAATTAGAATTTGCTGCTATATTTTCTCCTCCCTTAAAAAAAACACGGTGATGACATCTACACCTCAGTACATTCTATTAGTTAACAAATTAGAAGTGTAGCCATTTGACACATTTAGCCTTCTACAAATATGCAGTCAACTTTAAATGGATACATTTTAAAATGTCAAATGAGCTTGCAAATTAATAAGAGACTTAAAATAAGTAAATATTCTTAAAATGTAACATAATTAATTTTCCCTGATTAATATACTCAGCAAACTTATTTCAGACACAATAAACGGTTTGCTAGAATATTACCAAGATAGAGTGTAAGGGAAGCCATACTACCCTTCTCCCCATTGCAGAAATTCCAGTTATAATCTTGCCTCACTGACCTTCTGGGTTTTTGTTTTGTTGTTGCTCTTGTTTAACATTTTCTAACAAGTTTAAGGGAGAGACTGTCAGACTGGAAAGGCTAATATTCTCATCTCTGAACAGATATCATATTTAGATAACCCTTCACTTGTATTCTTTTCCTTTGCCCTATATTTCCGAAAGAGAAAAATCACAAAATCCCTCACCATTGTTGTTTGTTTTTCAAATCTACCTCAGGGAAATTAATCCCTCAGGCTACCCCTGAAAGTAAAGTATGTCTTTTTATCAATGGAGATCCAGCCCTATGTGGCTTATTATGGTGGAGACTCAAAGGCTTTTGCCTCCTCGAAGAACACCGTAGACATAGGTGTAAACCACCTTTCCATACTGACTTCTAGGGAGACAGAAGCTGCAGTCAGGTTAAGAGTGTCTGTGCAACGCTGCCGCCCACCCCCAATCTGGAGACTCATTCAAGGTTAAGCTGCTATCACCGTATGGTCTGCTCAGCTCCACTCTATACTCTGTATTTTCCAAAAGAGAATTAAAAGGCAAGAAGAGCTAGAGATGAACTTTTCAAGTGCCCCACAGCAGGTTAAGCGCTTTCAAGAGAACATCTGCAGAGTCAGCAAATATATTAAGCACGTTTTCCTGAGCTCATACAAGGAGGGGGGCAGAGGGGAGCAGAGGAGGGAGGAGAGGGAGTCCAGCAATGTTTTACCTTGTTAAGATCACCATGGAAATGTTACACAAAAATGCCTGTCCTCGGCACGTCCAGCCTAGCAGCTAAGGTGACACAGGTGGGGGGCGACAGCACACCCAGTGAGATGCGCTTTGTGTGATAACAAGCTTTTCTACCAAGTGTGGAGACTAAAAACAGGGTGACCCGTGAGGACCACACCTGGTGAATGGCATCAAAGGCTGCGTCACAAAAGAGCAAAACAAACTTAGGAGAGTACCCACGCAGTCTCCCTGTCTGTCAGAAGCAGCTCGCAGCCTGACGGACAGAGCTGTGACACCAGAGAAAGAAGCTGGGGATGGGGAGGTGTGCAGAGTGCTTCCTGCACACGTGAGGATTCAGTTTTCGGTTTCCAGCACGCAGCCTAGGTGCTGAGCAGCAGCCTCGGCCACTAGCATGCTCCAGGACCAGTGAGTGATTTCATATAAAGGTGAGCAGCACCAGCACCTGATGCCAACTGTGTTGGCTAGCTTCCTTGTCAACGTGATAGAAAGCAGAGCCATGTGAGGGGAGGGAACCGTACCTGGGAAAATGCTCCCATAATATCTGGCTGTAGGCAAGCCTGTAGGACATTTTCTTAATATGCGAGTTGATGAGGGGGAACAACTCCGCCCACTGTGGGTGGGGCCATCCCTGGGCTGGTGGTCCTATGAGAAAGCAGCTGAGCAAGCCATGGGGAGCAAGGCAGTAGGAGCAGCACCCTCCTTGCCGGCCTCTGCCTCCTCAGGGTTCCTGCCCTGTCCGAGTTTCTGCCCTGACATCCTTCATAATAAACAGTGATGTGGAGGAAAAGGTCAAATAAACCCTTTCCCCTCCAAGTTGCTTTTGGTCATAGTGTTTCATCACAGCAGGAGAAACCCTAATTTAGACACATGCCTATGGCTTCCACAATGTACACTCACAGGGCAGCACGGGCCAACACCTGTGACATGCATATACTCCTCAAACAAACCAACAACAAACAGTAAGTCTCCTCTCGTGCCCAAGCACATTAACTACTAAGTTGTAATCTAGCGGTTAGAGCCGTTTAGGAACCTCTCCAGACCCAGGCGCTCACTCACCAGTCAGCTGGATCACTGATGGCAACCTTGGCCCACGTGCCAGCCTCTGTCATCACGAAGCCCACGTCATCGTGGGAGCTGGAAGAGGACTGGTCGGAGAGGTGTGGAGGGAGCACGGGCAGCCTGTCATCCTCGATCATGACAGAGTCATCATGTGGCATGTTCACGGTAGGCGACAGCTGGCATTTACCTGGCCAGTAGGAAAGAAATTCTGGATGTCAATGGAGGCACCATGCCTGTTCATTTTCACTTTTTACTACACAAAGAAAGCCCTGGGTCTTGACACACCTGCTCTAAATGATGGGACGAGATAAATCAGGGTATTTATTTCTCGTCGAGCACTGCCACAAACACAAACCTTGGGTCCACACGACTGCTTCCGCAGCACGGCCACACAGCATGTGACTGACACGGGACTTCTCTGCCTTAAGTTCCCCAAAGACAAGGATTACCTCCAAAATGGCTTACTGTGAACAGAACATAGAGCTTCGTAGGTAGGAGAGGGCTCTGGGAAGTTTCAGGAGGAAATCTGGAGGGAAACCTTACAAACCTACAGCAATCCTCTATCTAGGCACTCATCAGGCAACGACTCCAGGCTAGAGAAGTGCTAGGGGGCGCTATCTTATACCGAGTTACAGCCTAATGAAGGCGGAAAAGCCCCAGCAGAGCACCTCAGTGTGAGGACTGTGCCACTGTATTCATCCAGGCGAATGACAGACAGACGTGGGCATCAGAAGGTCAACAAAAGTTATTGGAGCTAGATTTGGAATGATGGCTGTGAATTTCCAACTAGGAGAAATGACATTTATCACAAAGACTGGCAACAAGCTCAACCCATGATGAATTCAGGTGACACTTGACAAAGCCTGGCATACAAGCCAGGGAGAATAACATTGAAATGAGAATGACCTCGATGTGATGAGCTGAGCATAGGTCCAGATGTGTTTCTTGAGGCTCTGGGGCCTTCCCTGGGAAGAGGGGTGTCAAGTCTGCTTATTCAGTTATGAAAGGCTAAAAGTATCTCCTGTCCTTTCTTCACATTCTTTCAGCAAAACTTGTTATGGTTCATAGTCCTGCGTGGCATTCCCATATCATAACCTTTCTTGGAATAAAATTATGTTTCAAGTCCCCAAGTCCCCACAGGTTATGCTGGAGTATGAACTGTGTCCTTATACCAAACCCCTCTACTTCTTGAAGCTCCTTTCCAAAATCTTTCCATTTGTTTTCTGAGCAAGGATATGCTGATGAAATTTTGGTCCAGGTGCATATCTTTTAAGGGGCTGCAGTCACAGGACAACCACCATATGACAAGACACAACCGAGTGTGTTCCCAAGCAAGCAAGGAGCCACGACAATCTCCTGTCTATGTCACAGGATGACAAATACTCCCCACTACATCTAAGGCCCAGAGCACTTCAGCCAACTGTCCCTGTCGGTGCCCAGGACACCAAGTCTGCTGAGCCTTCTCACACCTCACCGCCATTTGCTCAAGGTGCTCTTTCCCTTCAAAATAGTTTGCAAAAACAGTTCAGCAACCACGTATTAGCATTTTTATATTAGTCTTAGATCTAGGTTTAAAACTGAGCATTTATTAGCTACTGGATAAGCACAGATAAACTGGAGAGATTAAGTTTAAGGCAGTTTTATCTTTCTCTGGCTGATTCGGTAAAGAAACAGAAAACCGTTAAGTTTCTATATGTCTTTCAGTTCTTACAAAGAAACTTGGCAGAAATTACAAATGCACCACTACGTAGCATTGAGTGGTCTGTTACAGAAGCCATGCATGCTCATTAAAGCCTCTGTTCAGTATATTAGCTAGGAAGACTTCCTACTTTGATTCAAATGTTCATTTTGACAAACTGTGGAACTGGCAGCTTCTTATGAATGCTTATGACACAAAAGTAAATCAAAAGCAATCATTTCTGTGTCTTGATTTCAAATCACCCGTTTCTTTCCACTCAAGCTATAGAACATTAGAACAGAAACCTGTCCATGGTAATAAAGTTTACCATTATTGACCAAAGAAATGCTTCTCTTTAAGACATATTTTGTCTCCCAAATGACCATATTGAATTCATAAAGCCAGACTTCTACTGACTGGAGAGGCAAAATAAGCCACATTACTAAATACCAAGTCCTCATCCAGGGATGATTTAAATAAGAAAATATTGCATAGCTTTTAAATTGAAACATGCAACCCCTTGCATTGGCACATTAATTCTAAGTGAAAGCCTAATAAGAAATATAGAACATTAACTGGATCATACAATCAGAGTGTGTGTGTGTGTGTGTGTGTGAGAGAGAGAGAGAGTGTGTGTGTTTTGTGCAGAAACATTACTGTACACGACACAGAATCTCATCATCTGTTGTCTCTGTCTGACTCTGTCTGTCTGCCTCTCTCTCTCACACATACACACACACACTAACAAGAAGTCTCTCTTGCAATGCTCTCCAGTCTAACATTCTGTAAGGTTTTGAGTAGGACTACCCCCCTTCTCTTAGCTTGCTTGTGAGGAGGAAGTATTCCAGATCTGGGTCGAGAAACCAGCACAGGCAGCAATCATCTACAGTTCAAAGCTACATGTTCCTCTGAGATACACCAGGACCTCTTTAGCCTTTAGACACATCTCTTAGCCTGCCATGCATCACAGGCAAGAATCCTATGAACCATGCTCAAGGTGGCTTCAGTTTTTAACAGCTAAATTCTCCCCAGCCCCAACCATTTCCATCAATATTGAACACCCTGGATCTTAGAGAGGGAAACAATAACATACAAGATGATTATTTACTAAACATTTATTCATTGATGAATTTACAAGGAATGCAACACAATGCATGATATCAGGAATAAGTGAAACGAACACTATCAGCAATACGAGAGTTACAAAACAACATTAATGTCTCAGTTTTCTGTCAAATTTTTAACAAAACGAAAATACTCTGAACATAATTATTTAAACTCACCATAAAAGTATGAATATAGAAACCACTGAGATAAATAGTAAAATGAAATAAAATTTCAGCTCAAAATAAAATCGCTTTAAACAGAATTATGCAACCAAACACCTTAAAAAATAATGTTTTCTGCTCCCAAGCAGGAATTCGTGGTGCATTTATGGAGTAAGCATGTTGGTAAACTGTGTCTATTATGTCACTGTTGTTATTAACATGGTAGAAAAGGTCTTTCTAGGCTTTTCAAAGAGGAAACCCTAAGTAGACTCAGGAAGGGAGCCTTGTGGTCAGAGCTACATACCTACCTGTACGTTTACTTACTGGTCTTTCTTTACTTGTTTAAGCTATTTTTGTAGGGCTGGGAGCAGGGCACTATGCTAGGCAAGCGCCTTTAGCGAGAGTCCCAGCCCTTATGAGTTGCTTTCTAATACAAGAAAGAGACTCACAGTTTAACATCAGTGGCAGTGGGAATCCAGCCAAAAAAGATGACCCTGGTTAATTCTGGCCTCTGGTCACATTTCTGACTGATCCATCCAAAAGTGATAGAAATGAAGCAGCTGTTATAAAGAGAAACTGACCCCCCTCCCCCGCCCCAGAAAACCACATTCAAACTGTGGTTCAGAAACAGAATAAGCCACTGTCCAGCGATCTGTAGCTCCCTGAACACGAGAGCAGGGTGGAGCATGTGGAGCATGTGGCGTGTGGCCAGCAACTGTCTTAAATTCCCTTTTCCCTGGGCAGATCAAGGGACCAGGCACCTTGTCCAGGACACACCTGTGCCTTTTAGTCAATGTGTGTCACTAAAACTTACCACGAGATCTTGGCATTCCCCAAGAGGGGTACTTTTAGAAACAGGAAATAACCAAAACCAAAACCAAGGAAAAATCAGCATAGATTGGGGACCCATTTCTTTTATCTGTTCAGTGAAGCAGTGTCACTGAGAACATTTGACATCCTTCCATTTAGAAATGGCGTTTCTTTTCGGGTGCACATTTCTGAAGTCTCTCTCCTGGGCTATATACCCATTCAATAAATGACCACAGGCCTTAATTCCTTCAGTCAAATGTACAAAGCATGTTCTTTGTGAAAAATTGCCTTGATCACATAAAATTAATCACTCCTTTGTGCGATAAGGAATTTCAGCACTTCCCTTTCTCTCCTATGAAATGATGGCCCACACGGGAGGGAGGTTAAAGACGCAGCAGACAGTCGTGACCTGGCGGTAGACCCGGCTGAGAAGGGTCCGCTCCTGACACAGAGCGGCACCCGATGCCGACAATGCAGGGCGTGGACATTAGGAGTTGTTTCGCCACCAGTAGCAAAGTAACTTTATTTTTTTCTTTTGGCAGTATCTAACTTCACCAATAGCATGCAGTTCTTAAGGCCAACAATTCTAGAGTAAGGACGGAAAAAGAGCATAACAGCTCTGAAGTTTGTAAACAGCAAGATTAATTGAATTAAGTTTATATATTTCTCCAGGTACAGCCGCAAGGGGCTCCTAGTTTCCAGTACAGCATATAAAACATGTCTTAAGGACATGGACAAATGAAGTCATTAAGCAGCCCTGGATTCAATCCCCAATACCCCTTCCCTAAAGATTCTCGAATGTAAAAACTTGGGCTGCTGAGTATGACGTCATCCCCAGACCATGAGTCCCAGTACACATGCAGAGCAACACCCAACATGGCAGGAGGAGCCGGCCTGTGAGGGGAGTCTCCGTGAGTTCATTACATACCTAACAGAGGGGGGGAAACACTGCAGACCAAATTACCCGCTGACAAGGACTAACAAAGTCAGAACTAACAAACGTGGGTTACAGAAAATGGAGAAAACAGCGTGCTCCTCAACCCTTGATACACAGTTCAACAAATCACTAGTGAACTCAGGGTGGGGGCTGGTATGTGTCTGAGTGTTAGGTTTTCGCCTTCCTCTGAAGAACCAGGGGTTGGAGGCAGGATGCAGGTTACAGGAGCTGGTGTACCAATGGGCTGATCAGTGTGGCAAATCCTATGTTCCTATAACAGAGGGGAAGTTACAGCGTGTCACTTCGTCTGTACACAGATCCAGGGACACATGCACACATTCTTTCTCAGGGCTCTGAAAGTCTGTCAGCAGATGAGAATTGGGCAGAGACGCTTTACAGGAAAGCGTGGATAAGCCACCAGCAGTGAAGAGTGGTAACCAACAGGCACATGCCAAACTAGAAGCTAGAATCAGGGCCCGTTACACTAGACGGGGCTCAAACCAAGAGCCAGGAGGCTTCTCTCACACCACACGTAAAGTTAGAAAATATTCGTAAAGTGCAACAAAGACAAGAAACTGAGAGTTTAGCAATTCTCCAAGGGGGGGAAGCTACATGAGGAGGAAGAAAAAAATGATAGGAAACCGCAGAGGTCATGCTGCTAGACAGATTGCATTTTTCTACAGTGCTCAGTAGAGCGCTCTCTGATGGACGAGGCAGTTCCTAAAAGCACGTCTGCTAGCTCACACCGTGCCCACACAAGCTTCCCATTAATGCCCAGCGAGTTCACCAGCTCTGTGTCAATGATGCATCACGATGGGAACTCATTATCAGATCTCAAAACGCAATTAAATTTAGGGTTTTACGTCAGAGAATTGCAGAATCAGTCATAAATCTGAGTGCTTCATGTCAAAAGTCCTTTTTATACCTTGAGTTTGAAAGCTATCTCAGGTTAACCCCAGATGAGCGGGTCTGTGAACCCAGCCTCTCCGGGGTCTGTTAGGAGAAGACCGAGCTACAGCAGGAGTGTGTGGTCACTGTATCCCAGGGACCCAGGAGGCAGCACGGGGCAGATTAAAAAACCGCACACAAGATTGGCTGAGGATTTAAATAAAGCTGAGCTTTTACTGCTATTGTTGATGTAAAGACAGCTCTGGCTGTCTGGAACAAAGTGGCCTCAAATTTAGAGATTCATCACTGCTTTCTATCCCAGTGCTGAAATTAAAGGTATGAGCTACCATGGATGGCAAGACTAAGGCTTTGATAAAGCAGAAATGTGACAGATTTTATTGAATGCCACCAAATAATGAATACTTCACGTAATCATGTATTTTTCATCTGTGTCTAAGCAGCGCTACCAACAGTGACAACTTTCAGATTCCGTTTCTAAAGTTGGTGTGCATATGTGCTGTGTGTGTGTGTGTGTGTGTGTGTGTGTGTGTGTGTGTGTACGTGTGAGAGCATGTGTGTACGGGCATACATTCACATGTGCGTGCATGCACTCACGTGTGCCAGCCTTGGCCATCACTTCTCTGAAGCTCTCCACTCTGTGTGGACACACAGCAAGGATTCGACCACCTGAGCTGTTTCCTCGTCCCTTGCCATTTGTTCAAATACAGCTTACTTACTATTCTCAACAAGCCAAGGATACTTTGATTACTGAGAATATTCCTTTCATGCGCTTTTCCCTTCTGTCCTCATCACACTTTGAGGAAGTGAAGCTTACTCAACCACTCAGGGCACGGAGGCACTCTGCTCACATCCGTGTTTCCTGCATGACCATAATAAGCCTGTTCTCTTCTCTCTCGGAAACACGGGCCTCCTTTACAGCAACACTGCACTCATCCCCGCGCCCCACTCCCACCCCAGGAACCAGGGTGAGCATGGATGCAAGATGAGACAGGCGAGCTTTACCTGACTCACCCATTATTCTGCTGAGTGCGGCGTTCCTGCCGGGCGACTCGTCCAGCCCCTCGATCCCGCTGTAGAGCGAGTGTGAGATCCTGCGCTCCCTGTCGTCCAGCTCTGTGTCGATGGGCAGCTCAGGTGCAGCAGGGCTTCCCGGAGACCGCAGCTACGGAGAAAGGGACAGGGACAGTGAATCTTGGAGGCTGGTGAGCAGCATGGGGCCTGCATAACAACTTTCTAAGGCTTGCACCCAACCAGGCCTCAAATGAACTAGAACTTTTCAACCTATACCAAAATAATTTGTTCTGTCAGCTTGGCCTAATGACCAGCTTTCACTGGCTCCTTCCTCGGCACCTCCTGCCAGGCTGGCATATTTCAGCCACAGGAGGAAAAGATGTACATTAAGGGATTTCTTTAAAGTTTCACCTTGTTGTTTATTTTTTTCAGTTTGATGCTAAGCATGTGCTGAGGTCAAGACAAGATAGTTTCACATAGAATTTCTGCTACCTGTTGCTCTGCGGAAGGCAGGCTTTGTCCACAGACCCTGGAGTTTGGTTGGTTGTGTACCTATGGGGCACAGACAGGTTTGACTCCTCCATATAGTTTAGGTGTCTTTAGCAACACACCGAATCTAAATTCTGTAGAAACTAAGGCTCTTTGTGTAACTGTGAGGCAATCTCCAAGTCTGAGGCAAAAACTGAAAAACACTTAAAGCACGTAACTAGAAGAGCATAAAAGAATCATAGTTTTTTGCATATCTATGTATACTGTGCATGTACATGCATGGGTTTTGAATGTGTGTAGGTTCACATGTTCTAGTGCTCACGCATGGGGAAGCTTCCTTGGTAGCCCTCCAACCAACCCGGAGCTTGCTCACTGCCTTCCTTCTTGCTCAAGGGATCCCTGCCTTACACTTCAAGAGTTCTAACAAAATGGGCAGCCACCACACTCTCCAGACTTTAGGTGTGTTCTAGGAGTCCAAATCACGGCACTAACACTCAAGTGTGCTATTCCTGAAAGATCTCCCAGGCTTTGGACCAAGCATCTTGATCAACCACACAATGATGTGAGCAAATTCACGAAGTCTATTAACTGAGTAAGAAGAAGCAGGCCAAGGGCTGGGAGTGCGGCTCAGTTTGTTCAGTGCTAGTCTACAAGGCTGGCCTCAAACTCACTTTGTAGCAGAGGGTAACCTTGAACTTATGATCTACCAGCTTCAAGGGTCGAGATGACAGGTGTGCATTACTGCACTCAGCTTATCAGTGCTAGAGGACACTGAGCCCAGGGCCTTATCAGCAAGCTTCAGGACAGACAGGGCTACACAGAGAAACCCTACCCCCAAAGAAAATCCTGGAGAAATGGCCAGGTGTGACCGCAGCACAGGAGGTGTGAAAACAGGCAGTTCTCTGAGACTGAGGCCAGCCTGAACTCTACATACTGAATTGAAGACCAGTTAGGGCCAAACAATGACGTTCTGTCTCAAAAACAAGTTTGTCTTTTCTTAAAAACAAAGATCTCTACAGTTGTGGGTTAAAAATCTATGCAGTCCTCCACATCACAGCTGTGCCATCCACGTCTTCTCCATAGCAACAGCCAGAAGGTGTGGACGCTGGGAAGGACAAGCATTTTACTTGAAGGGTCCTGCACCATAAGGACCCAAGTGGCGGCCTTGGGTCCTTGGGATGGTGCTACTGGTACAGAGCCAGGCAACACATCAGATGAGCAAGTTCTTCAGTCAAGCAGAGAGGCTGCCCCATTCACACAGGAAGCTGCCTTCCCTGAGCAGGTCGTCCTGTTCACACAGGAAGCTGTGCTGCTGTGCTACCTTCTGAGCAAACTGCCCCATTCACACAGGAAGCTGTGCTGAGGTGCCGCCTTTCCCAGAGAAGGCTGCCCCATTCTCACAGGAAGCTGTGCTGTGGTGCCGCCCTCCATTGAGCAGGCTGCCCTATTCTCACAGGAAGCCGTGCTGAGGTGCTGCCTTTCCCTGAGCAGATTATTGGTTCTGTTAGAAACTACCCTGCATTTATATAATGAGACACTTAATGAAGCTCTAACCTACAGACCCAAGTTTGAGAAGCAGCAGAGAGGTGGAACGCCTTGAAGGGTTAACACAATTACCACCAGGGACTGAATACTAAACTTGCAGTATGGTGAATTAAACTAATAAGGTTTAAACTGTGAAATCAGGGTTTGTTTTATTAGTTTTCTCTTGAAACTGCAGATTATAGCGGACAGCTTTCCTGACAAGTAAAACATTTAGGTCTCTGATAAAAAGACATAAAAGAATGCTGCCTTAAGGAGCATGATACCTAAGATATTCTAAGATACCTCGGAAAGGAAAAACAAAAAAGCCTCGTGCCCTGTACCTTTAAAGACAAGTGGGCTTTTTTAAAGCGGACCATTTAAGTTGCTGTGTAGCCAGTAGCTGAGGGATGCATGCAGAGCATGACCTAGGCTCCCTGGGTCCACCAGCCGCACAAAGATGAATTTGAAACAAAACCAAAAAACCTTGATACTTTAAACGATAATATACACTAAAGACATTTGCCACATTAGTCTCCAGAAACAAATTCTGCTTTCTATAGGGTATTTTACCAGGTGACAAAAAAATCTTTGCATTTGCTTTCAAAAACAAATGTAGCTCCTTAGTACAATTCTGCGATTTTCCAATGGAATAAAACCTCTAAAAATTAAGTCTGCTAAGGGAATATTTTAAGGTTATATTAAGTGAAATAAAATTCCATTATAAAGAATGAGCAGGTTTTGTAGAGAAAAATCACTCAAGATGCATGTTCGGTAAGGAGGCACACGTAAACATCCTCACCTCAACTGTGTCTAATTTACATATGAAAAGACAGATTTAAATAAAGCCATCAATAATCTACTACATAAATATTTAACAGAATTTAGAACACCTTTTAATTTCTCCAGCTTTCTCCTGGTTTTGTTTTGTTTTTGAGACAGGGCTTCACTGTTGGTCCTAGCTGGCCTGCAACTCACTCTGTAGCCTCAAGCTCAGAGGCCTGTCTTTGCCTCCCCAGGCTGGGGCCACAGCTGGCATTTCTCTAGGGGTTTTTTAGGGGGTGGGTCAGGCTGGGATAGGGGGTTTGGTTTTTTTGAGATAGGGTTTCTCGGTGTAGTGCTGTCTGTTCTGCAGCTTGCTCTGTAGAGCAGGCTGCCCCTGAACTAAAGAGATCTGCCTGCTACTGCCTCCCAAGCGCCAGGACCAAAGAAGTGTTTTTAGGAAGCGGATTGGAAAACACTTTGGTTAAATTTTTTTTTTTTTTTTTTTTTTAATGCAAGGAAACAAAAGCAGAGTTTATCAGGTGGTCCACTGGCCAGGCACCCTGGAGGAGAGCAGCAGGCACCCTGAAGAGTACTTTCTACTAGCTCATGCCCGACAGCCTTTATTTTTTTTTTCCTTCAATCATGAAGCAACTGGAGAGTGAGAATTTTATTTTAAGATTTTTTTTAATTTTTATTAATTACATTTTATTAATTTTGTATCCACCCATAAGCCCCTCCTCCCCTCCTGATCCCACCCTCCCTCCCCTTTCTGCATGCATGCCACTCCCCAAGTCCACTGATAGGGGAGGTCCTCCTCTCCTTTCTGATCTTAGTCTATCAGTTCTCATCAAAAGTGGCTGCATTGTCCTCTACTGTGGCCTGGTAAGGCTGCTCCCCCCTCAGGGGGAAGTGATCAAAGAGCAGGCCAATCAGATTATGTCAGAGGCAGTCCCTCTTCCCATTACTATGTAACCCACTTGGACACCGAACTGCCATGGGCTACATCTGTGCAGGGGTTCTAGGTTATCTCTATGAATAGTCCTTGGTTGGAGTATGAGTCTCTGGGAAGTTCCCTGTGTCCAAATTTTCTTGTTTTGTTGCTCTCCTTATGGAGTTCCTGTCCTCCCCAGCTCTTGCTATTTCCCACTTCTTACATAAAATTCCATTCACTCTGCCCAATAGTTGGCCCTCTGCTTTGATAGTCTGCAGGGCAGAGGCTTTCAGAGGCCCTCTGTGGCAGATTCCTAGGTTGTTTCCTGTTTTCTTCTTCTGGCTTTCAGAGGCCCTCTGTAGCAGGTTCCTAGGTTGTTTCCCGTTTTCTTCTTCTTCTGATGTCCATCCTCTTTGCCTTTCAGGATGGGGATTGAGCATTTTAGTTAGGGTCCTCTCTTTTGCTTACTTTCTTTAGATGTACAGATTTTAGTGGGCTTATCCTATGTTTTATGTTTATATGCTTCTGGGACAACTCACTCAGGATGATCCTTTCCAGGTCCCACCATTTACCTGCAAATTTCATTTCCTTATTTTTCATTGCCGAGTAATATTCCATTGTATAGATGTACCACAATTTCTGCATCCATTCTTCAGTTGAGGGGCATCTGGGTTGTTTCCAGCTTCTGGCTATTACAAATAAAGCTGCTACAAACATGGTTGAGCAAATGTCCTTTTTGTGTACTTGAGCCTCTTTTGGATATATGCCTAGGAGTGGTATGGCCCAACAGCCTTTAAATCTTAGCTTAATACTTAATGAACCCACTAAGATAAAAAGTAAACAAAACTGTACAATTTTTTAAAACTAATAAAATTAGAAAAGCCCGTGTGTAAGCACAGCTGCATTCTCAAACCACTTCACCTGGTCAAAAGGCAGAAATCTGCCGTCTCACCCAACGAGGCTGAGAACGGGGACGACCCTCCCCTGACCTCTAGAACAGACTTTCTCTCTGCTGAGAACACACGAGCACACAGCCCATTCTGTAGGACTCACTAACCAGGAATTTACTGTTCTTTGTGGTCACTATGGAAAGGAACTAACAAGCCGGCTCAATAATAAAGGCGCTGGTGACTATTTTAACTTTATTTACAGGTACAAAGGTTGAAAGTAATAGAAAAATGCAAAACGGTATAAATATGTTTTCAAAAAGATATTCAGATGATATACTGCTTTTAGAAATGATGGTAACGTGCTTTTTAATAATAATCTGCTGGATATTATCCAATGATTATACTTTTTATTAAATACTTAGAATACCTTCTTATAAAAAGTTAAAAACTCTTAACTTCTTATAAGGAAGCTAACAATTTCTGATGTGTGTTCGTGTGTGTGTTTCCTTGTCTTTTCCTAAGACTGCATTAGTGAAGCAAAAGAACGAACCCCTG